ACAAATACCTGATCAGCTGTTTGTCGGCTCAGCGCGGCAGCCATGTAAATTTAAATGAAGCGGCGATTATTTAAATCACCGCTTCATTTTACTATGTCCGGTAGCCTAATCTACATGCCTCTGTCGCCAGAGGCATGTAGTCTAGACGTATCCATAGTTTGCTTCAAGCAAAACCAATGGAGAACAGAGGATGGAAAAGGTATGTAAATATTTCTATCTATGCAAATGTAAGTAGTGACTTACCTTAGATGCTCATTAAAATAACATGTAAATGGCTGTGAACCCACTTCCACTTTCCAGTATTCCTGCCAGTGTGTGACAATTTCAGAATTCTTCTGATTTTCTCTTTCACAGGGAGGAATATATGAACACTGTCAAAACAGGTTCCAAAATGGAATTATTTCTGTACTCAACAATACAAGGCATCATTCTCTTTGAATTTTCCCCACCAAATTTACCCAGAGTAATAAAGAATGAACCTCTGGGTACAAGTCTCCAAACAGGAAAAAAAAAATGTAGCTGCATGTCCCTTGATCATTATTTGCTCAATATTTATATTGAACATAAATGTTTAAATGTTCAGTAACAAAAAATGATTTACTACATAAGAACAGCCATACTGGGTCATGCCAAAGGTACATCTAGCCCAGTATCCTGCCTGCCAACAGTGGCCTAAACAAGATGCCCCAGAGGGAGGGAACACAACAATAATCACCATGTGATCCCTCTTGTGTTACCCATTTCCAGACTATGCACATTACTAACTTTGCTGCTGCTATCTTCCCTCTCTCACCCACATATTCCCCCATCCATCCAAGAAACATGCTGTTGTTTTGTATGATGAGAATAGAACAGATTAAAAGGAGAGGATTAACTTTCAAGGAGGGTTTAGCTAGCTATACTTACGGGTGATACTTTGAAATCATCACAAACATTTACGTCAATCACATGTTCCATTTAACGATAGATAGATAGATAGATAGATAGATAGATAGATAGATAGATAGATAGATAGATAGATAGATAGATAGATAGCCACTATTACAGCAAATTTAAAATGCTGTATAAAAGACAGGTATTATATAAAAGACAGGTATTATCCCAGATTTATAGACACATGATTTGCAGGAAACAAGTATAGGATGTTAAAATCCCAATTCAGCAAAACACTTAAGCACATGCTTAAATCACACTGAAGTGATCAGGATTTAAGTGCTTTGCTGAACTGTTTACCAGATGCCGGATTCAAAGTCTAGCAAAGTCAAGGGGAGTCTTTCCATTGACTTTAGTGGTCTTTAGATCAGGCCTTAAGTGACATGTTCCAGATACAGAGGAAGAGAACCAAGTGTGTTGCTTCTCAACCCCATATTTGATTACCATGCCTCCTTCCACTTGTACCTTAAACATATATTACTAGAATTAGGGCCATGGTTTACTCTTTGGAGAAATATTTGTATCCCAGTGCACAAGCATAATTCTTTCAGTCATTAATAGGCATCTCATAAGTCCATGAGAGACTGAATTCACCCTTTCATTTATGAAATTCCATGCAAAGGTAGCACTACAAACTTTTACATTGCTTTATTAACATATGTAATAATGGACTCAATTGTACATAGTATAGTGCAGATGGTGTGACCTATGTCCCTTTTAAAACTGGGAGCTGTAGCGATAGGACATATTACTAGAAAGAAATACATGACCAACAGGAAGTTAAATATAGAATTGGTATTCTCTTTGGTAGGGTTAGCAGACAGGAAACCTATGCTCAAGGAAGCCCTATTGCAGATCTCTCCATAGTCAATTGAAAGGACAACTAACAGAGAAGGGTCTGTGTAAAAGAGTCTTGACTAGCTCACCACCAAAAGGGCTAATGTCACCCGTGTTTATTGGTCATCCGGGCCAGTCCTGTAGCCCCAGGCACAACCCGTGGTGGAGACCCGCCCTGTTCCCATTCCTCTTTTTTTTATATATCACTGCACGCCCGAGGCTGCCTCTCCGGCCAACGGAGTAGGGGGGTTCGGGCCCACCCCCTCTCTGAACCCCGGCCCAGAGCCCTGAAGGCAGGGACTCACGGTCCCTCCCTAGTGGATGGGGGAAGTACCCCAAAACACACCCGCTCACGGGCTCCACGACCCCGCCCTGGGCCGCTTCCTACTCCACCCCTCCTCGTGTATCCCGGCCTCACCTCTCCTTCCTCCTGCTCCCTGACTCTCCGTTGCTCTCTCCTCTCCCCTTCCGCGGTGCCAGACCCAGGTTTAAATCCCCCGCTGGCCCTGTCCCCGTACGTCATCTCCTCTGCGCTGCCCAGCAACCCCTCTTCCCCCGTGACGTCACACGCCGGCGCCTCTCTAGCCCCTCCTCTTTGGGCCTCGCCCAGAGGCGCTCCTTGCCCCCTGTCACTCACCGCGCCGAGCCCTAGCAGCGCGGCCTGCCACCCCAGCGGTGCGCCGGCTCTCCACACCCCAGCGGCCCGCCGGCTCTCCAGCCCCCAGCGCGTCCATCCGCCATCCCCCCGGGCACCCCGAGTGCGGGGCGGGAGCGCCCCGTCACAGTCTGTCCTCTCTCAGAACTTTCATTGGAAAACAAAGACAGCTGTGAAAAAAGGGTCTTCATTTCGTGGCTGGGGGGCACTTTCCTATCATTCCATTAGTGAGCTTAGGCCTCCACTGCCCGCCGGCTCTCCAGCCCCCAGCGCGTCCATCCGCCATCCCCCCGGGCACCCCGAGTGCGGGGCGGGAGCGCCCCGTCACAGTCTGTCCTCTCTCAGAACTTTCATTGGAAAACAAAGACAGCTGTGAAAAAAGGGTCTTCATTTCGTGGCTGGGGGGCACTTTCCTATCATTCCATTAGTGAGCTTAGGCCTCCACTTTACTACTGAATTACTTCAAGCTGTACAGAGCTGGAAGTATGTCTACTTTACATCACTGTGAATTTTTTGCTGGTAAAAACAGTTTGATGAAGTAAAACTCGGTATTTCTGTTAGCATCCACAACTATTTTTTGATAAACGCCTATACTCTAACCTGGAACAAAGTGCAAATTCTCACTTATTTGTTTAACATTAAAACTTTCCTTTTTCAAAACAAAGCACCCCCATTCTCACAGCAACATATTTGGTGCTGTGACCACAGAGAGCTCTTTACATCCTTGTGCCAAGAAGAGAATCGTACCCTAAGATTCTTTTCCAGGTTTGCATTTTTAGAACTAAGTAGCACCACAAAGACTATTGTTCTGGAGATGCTGGATGCTGAAACAGAAAACAGAATACAAGGGTTTTTTGTTGCTTTTTGCTATTTCACATTTAAAATCAGTTCCCTTGGCCCACAACATTTCTTGATTCAATACTGTAGTTTGGGAGTTTGTTTGGAAGTGGCCTTTACAACATCCACCAGAGGATTTTTAGGGCCTGCTTATTGGACGAGTTAAGACTCATTGGCTTGATAGCAGGGTGTTCCATTAAAAGGATTGTAGGATGTGAGGCTCTGTATCTTTCCACCATGCTGCATTGGTTCAGGTTGAAGGCAGGAATTTTTCTTTGGGTCATGAACTAGCATAGACCCCTGGTCTAGGAGTGAGGAGGTTAGGGCTTAGGCGGCCTGCTGGATTGTGTGTATTTTGTTGAAGTAACATCTTTTGAATGGTGCAGTGTTTAAGCTCTGTTGAAGATGTCTGGAGGTCACTCCTCTTTCATTTATGTCATCTTCTGGCACTGCTGCTGCATTCTCTGTGGGGGTGAAATTTACAGACACATCCCAGTGTTTGACAGGAAAATTGAGCCAGCAGAATTTCCTGGGGAGAAATTCCACACCCCATGTGTGAGACCCATCATTTCTCAATCTGGATGAGCTGACACAGCTCACCTGTACCAGTACCACTTCTATAATTCCAATTTGAGGATGGTAATTGCCAAATAAGGTAATAGCTATTATTTTTTATAAATATCATATGCACCTCAGTTCACCTGGTGGAATTAGCCTGAGTTCAAAATATTATATCAAAGGAGGATGTCAGAAGAGAAGCGCACAGGTAACCACAAAACTATGGCAAAGATAAAACACTCCAGAGAATACCAGGGATCCCTGAGGAAACAATGAGGAATACCCCAGCCAGGCCCCAACCAGGTAGATTACTCTTCCCATTCCTGAGGCCAGGATTAAAAGGGGATACCAAACCATTAAAGGATCCAGGACCTAAACAAGTAAAGTGGGGGTTAAATGAATGACTGCACAAGAATCATCAGTGAGCACTAACAGGAATGCAATGTAAGTAAGGCTTTGTGCATAAAGCACTGCCACAGCAGTGCTTTAAAATGAAAGTGTGGCCACAGCACGCGTGCAGGGAGAGAGCTCTTCCCGCGCTCTCTGTAAACCACCTCAAAAAGGGGAGTAGCTAACAGTGCAGGGCTCACAGAGCTGAAGCCTGGTTCACACTTTATAGTGTTGTAACTTACTGCACTCTGAGGAATGTTTACTGCGCTGTAAAGTGCCAGAGTAGGCTTGGCCATAGAGATCATGCTGCAAGCAGAGCAGTCTGTGTCTTCCAATCCACAGATGAAGATAACTAGTCTCAAGGGAGCTTACAAAACATGAAACTATAAATAAGGAGAAATATGTGTATGGCCTTCTTGTTTTATCCCTTTGTTCACTGTGCTACATGTTGTTGGGTAAATGAATAAACAGTGCTTTGTTCTGAAGAAATTTCTTCTGAGTCATGCTCATCACCTGTTACACACTCCTAGGGCATGTCTACACTAGCCCCCTAGTTCAAACTAGGGAGGCTAATGTAGGCATTCGAAGTTGCAAATGAAGCGCCGGATTTAAATATTCCCGGCTTTATTTGCATGTTCCCGTCTGGTCGCCATTTTTAAATTCCACTAGTCCGAAGTAACTGCCCACGGCTACTCCAATGAGGTGTAACAGTTATTTCGAAGTAAGGACTTAGTTTGAATTACCGTTTCACTGCCGCGTGTAGCTGCAGGCAGTTACTTCGGACTAGTGGAATTTAAAAATGGCAACCGGACGGGAACATGCAAATATTTAAATCCCGGGCTTCATTTGCAACTTCGAACGCCTACATTAGCCTCTCTAGTTCGAACTAGGTGGCTAGTGTAGACATACCCCTAGATGAAAAGGTCTAGAAGGTGCCAAACCTAGCTTAGGTTGCAGCTTCTCAGTTGATCTCCTGTGTTAATCTGACAGCCCTGAAATCCAGTCTAGTGGTATGTCTAGACTACAGAGTTTTGTTGGGAAAAAATGGCTGTTTTTCCGACAAAACCTGAGTTATGTCCACACTGCAAGTGCGTTCTTTTGACAATAAATCGAACGAACAGAGGGGTTTTTGCACAATTGATAATCCTCATTCTACGAGGT